TAGAATCCATGAAGTGGAGATTGTTGGGGTATTGCTTCAGTGATCAATGGAGAATGAAGTAGAAAACAACCAGAAAAATATGCAAAGAACTCGGGACCAGCTAGAAGACGAGACCGTCCAGACTGAAAGCTGAGCCTACCTCAGCCCAACCTCACACCCTCCAAACTCCTCACCAGTGCATCCACATTCCCCAGCATGGTGCCCAAAATAGCCGTCTTCTCCTTTGTAGTCCTAGTCTGTTTCGGTCGCTGATTCTGACTCGAACTGGGACTCGAACTCGAACTCGGCCTTCCCTCATCAGGGAAGAAACTCTTCTTCTGAGGGGATTGAACCTCGAAATCCCAAAACGCATCTTCCTTCTTGCGTTCTCTCTCCTCCCTCTCCGCCCTTTCCCGCTCAGCGTCCTCAACGTCATTCAGACTGGACGTCCTCCCCAATACAAGCCCAGACCCACTCCTCCTCGTCTCCCCGCGTCTCGAATTAGACGGTACACCAATCACGCTCTCACTCCCAGCCTTCTTCATCTTAACCCCCATCTTCCCCGCAGCAGCAGCTGGCGTCTTCGCAAACGTCGAATTAGTAACACCCAATTTCGGAACAGGAATAGGCGTAGCAGGTCCATCCGCAGTCCTCGTACGCCTATGTTTAGGCGCAGGAGTCGCAGGAACAAAGTCCAAGTAAGCCTGAGGTTGCGGTTGCGGTATCGGTGGCAACGGCGGCGTCTGTTGTCCAGGCCTTCCCAACCCAATCCCTCCGGGCCCCGTCCCAGCAGTCAACCGAGGCTTCGCAGGCGTACCGCTCCTCCTACGACTCTGACTCTCCCTCTTCCGTTCCTCCTCCTTCTCAGTAGTCACATCTTCCTCTTCAGATAACACCTTTGAATGCTTCCTGGGCGAGCTATGCACACTCGAAGGCGCAGTAGACGTCTCACTACCTTCCGAGGTAATAGAGAACCCAGAAGCAGCAGAGCTCCCGGATACCGATCGACTAGATGGTCCTGAGGCCGCCCCTCCTGCTTGAATACGAACACCATCATGCGAAGAAACCCCAGATCCCGACCTCGAATGTGTTTTCGCGGAAGTTACTCTCGAGTTGGGTATCGTGCTCGTGCTGAACGTGCCTCCGGAGCTTCCAGATGAGAACGTATAAGCTGAGCTCCCATAACGTGATATAGGTGTCGGAGGTCTGTCAGGGCGACCAAGCGTACTGATATGCGTGTTCAAGCCTGCATTCGGGTTCGAGTTGGGAGTGTTCGACGTGGGTAGAGGAGGTTCGCGGTGAGGTAAGTAGGTTTTTTTCGCATTCGGGTTCGCAGACCTCGTACCGCGAGGATTCGAGTGCGTGGATGACGTCCGTATGTGGGATTTTTTGAAAGGTGTCGAGGGAACGGGAGAAGGCGTAGATGAGGAAGGCGTGGACAGGGAAGAGTCTATAGTTTGACTCTGTGAACGATTGTGGAGGTTGCGAGAAACAGGGTAGGATGGAGTTGAGTGAGATTGGGTTTCTTCGCCGACCGAGAGCTTCCTAGGCGATGTTGGTGTTCCGAACGATGATTGGGTGGGGGAAGATGGTAGCGAAGAAATTGGGATATCGGCGGCTGATTCAGGGAGGCCAGTGAACTTGGGTGATGTTTCGTCGAGAAGGTAGAAGTAGAGGAACTCAAGGCATTTCATCCTGGGAGAGTACGGGTTTATGAGGACCGCTGGGGCGACAATGTAAATCACAGAAACACACCTTACACCCCTCCCACTTCCCTTACGTTTCAGTATCTTCACAACGGCCTGAAGGCCCTGGACCTCTTCAAAATTCCTGAGTGGATCGACGCCTTCCACGCTCTCGAGTTGCTGACCGTCCAAAGACGGAGATGGGACCAGAATACAGAGAAGGGTGTCCAAGACTAGTCCAGTCAGAGTATTGGAACTTGTTGTCTCTGGACGGGAGGAAGTACTGGGGGATGAGCTCTCTTGAGAGGATGGAGAAAGGTAGCGAGAGACCAGAAGAAGGTCCACGATAACCTGCAAACGAGCCATCCCAATTTCATGAGACCCAAGGCAAACGCCACATTTATTAAGGGCAACTCACTTCAAGCCCACTTTTCTTGCCTATCCATTCCTTGCTTGCTTGATGGTTCAAGACAAGAGCCTGAACCAAGGACGCTGACAGCGTCAGAGCCTTACATATGTTGTGAGCCTCTCGTTTCTGTTTATCCTCAGACGAACGAGCGTCACGTCCGGGCATGGAACTGGTGCCTTCCGAAGACATGGAGACGTGTCGCAAATTTTCACAGTGATCCTCGTTGGTGGTCGCGCAAGGTGGTGAGTCCTCAGATGCAAGATTGTCTATGAGTTTCTCGTCAGAGCAGTGGAAAAGGGAACATCCAGAAAGTGAAACTGACCCAAAACTACCCCTTCAGCGACCAACTGTTGCAGCCGGGTGTTGCACGTTGAGATGAACGGAAGAAGGTGACATGGGACTATCGAAAGAAAGACATGGTCTCTTCAGCTCATGACCGCATTAGGGACGAATACGGAAATTTGCGCACCATTACACTCAAAGGTAGCTTGTAGAGCCAAAAAATAATCCAGCTCAGTACTTCCATCCCAATCATCCCTAAGTTTCCCTTTCTCTTTCCGCAAGCATGCTTGTACAAACAGGGATTCGAGTTTCCGTAACGACTGGACTTTCTTTTCAATCGGAAGCCGAGGAGAGATAATCTGGTCTAGGGCGTCTTGGATAGCGGATTTGATATGCTGGAGTGTGTTGCATCGTGGCGAGTCGTTCATCTCCGGCCGTGCTGGAGTTGGGAAGGTGTATATCTAATCTCCAACTACCCTGTCGTATCAAAGGTTGGAAAACAAGTCAGAACGAAGCCAGAATGAGGAAGACAGCAGGCAGACAGCGGCCCTGACACAAACCAAACACGTTGTTTCCATGCGCCTCTTATCCGTCATGTGACCGCTGTGTAATTAGCCTTCCGGCACGGCAATTTCTCCAGGAATGCTCGTTCATCCGGCAAAATGTCGACATCGATTTCGCGATTATTTCGACCATCCTCACTAAGCAAGTAGGCGCAACACTGAGTAAGGAGCTCTACTCTGCTTTCTCTCAGATATATAGGCTGTAGAGCTCGAACTGGAGAATCAATGTTCTCGTATTCATCCTGGCCACCCAACTTGACACCTTCTCAACGCGAAGAATTACACAAGTCAGCTACAACATGGGCTCTTAGTCGAGGTCTATGCTATCTTCCTCCACCTTCACCTGGCGCACCGTCTTCAACAGTAGTAAACCCACCTCCTGCAGCGGCGATACATGCTCCGATATCCCTCCTTCCAACTCCTTTCCCCCGGGCATTGTTTCTGTCGGCACAGCGGTTGCAATCGGTTTACAATGTTCTTTACTCGCGCGTAGCGACGGATACCGAGTTTCTAGATCGTTACATGGGATGCGAGAGTGAAGAGGGTGTAGGGAGGGTCGATAGTTTCACCGGAAAGCTATGGGAAGGATGGAAGGCTGTAAGGGAAGAAGGAGGATACGAACGACAGGCGAGTCGCCACTCCGTACTTCTATGTTGACAAGGTCCTCAATCTCTGTTTAGCCCCTTCACCTTGGTCTATTTCGATCCGATTACCTCCTTCATACTTCATCCGACGGTTCCCATTCACTCAAGCAAGTGGAATTCAATACGATATCGTCCTCTTTTGGGCCGCTGAGTGAGCGAGTTGCCGGTCTACACAGGTTGGTTTCGTTCTTCGTTTCATTTCTACCTTACTCATACATTTTTCTTCCCCAGACATCTTGCTGCATCTACGTCCTACTACGATGCCTCGCCCCTACTAAACGACAAGGACCGCTTCCCCGAGAATGAGACCACGAAAGGTTTGGTCGAAGGATTGGCCGCAAGCCACAAAGCGTATGGCGCTGCGAACGCACAAATCTTGTTTGTTGTTCAGCCGAACGAGAGAAACGTATTCGATCAACGATGGTTAGAGTACGAATTACTGGAAAGGTCTTGACTTTCCCGTATGTCATTTTTTAACCGCTCACGCGTTTGTTCGTCAGACACTCAATCAAAGTCATCCGACGGACCCTTGATGAGCTGGCCACGGACGCCAAAATCGATCCAACCACTCATGCTCTCCTCATCTCCCATTCTGTAGCGTCAAGTTCCGCTCCCATAGAAATATCCACGATCTACTTCCGCGCTTGTTATACTCCCAATGACTTCCCCACACCTTCGCACTACGAGACGCGATTCCTTCTTGAACGTTCACGAGCGATCAAATGTCCCAGTCTTCCATTACAATTAGCCGGTGGGAAGAAAGTCCAAGAAGTACTCACCAGACCCGGCGTACTCGAACACTTCCTCCCAGACGTCGATCATTCCGTTCTGGAGGAACTCAGGGGGACGTTCATGGGGATGTACTCGCTCGACCTGGACATATCAGACGGCCAAACCTTTCCGAAGACTCGTGCCAACCACCTCAACTTGGTCCTCAAACCACAACGCGAAGGTGGGGGGAATAATGTCTACAAAGAAGATATCCCCGCGTTTCTTGATTCTCTCGCCGCTGTGTCGAGTTCCTCCATCCATTCTGAGTCGAAAGCTTGGATAGCTATGGAACTTATTCAGACGCCTCCGGATGTAGGTGGCTATCTCGTTCGATCACCTCCTCCTGGTAGTACCAAGGAAGAGATCGAGGCTGGCCGGGGAGGGACGCAGGCGGAGATCATCTCTGAGTTGGGGATATTTGGGTATTCGCTATTCGGACTCATCGACGGTAAGAAGAAGATCGAGGCGGAGAAGACTATCGGATGGCTGGTTCGGACCAAAGGAAAGGAAAGTAATGAAGGAGGTGTTGCGACAGGGTTTTCGGTTTTGGATAGTTTACTTCTGGTTGATTGATCTGTACACACTACTGTATCATTATGGTACTTACTTAAGAGGTAATCAAGGTCGCATCGGCTCAGCCCCAGAGCTCGTCAGGAAGTCGACTAGAGGCCGACTATAACTCACTTGGTTAGAGCGTTGCGCTAATAACGCGAAGGTCTTGGATTCGATCCCCACGTTGGCCAAATACTCTTTTTCCTCCCTGCAAAACGGGCCGGGCCGTTGTAACTGCGAAGTCTCACTTGTGACTTCTGTCTCCCAGGGGCCAGGACACCGTTGTTCCCTTCTCCCATGGTTCTTTTCTCGAGCCCTCTTCATTCACACTAGATTCGCCTATCATACCGTTTCTTCGACGCGTTACTCATTTCAATACGTATACGTTATCTAAGTCGACTACAGAATGGAGGTGGAAGAGACTGCACATTTCTTTAGGTTTGAACGACCTTACCTACGACTGTATGAAGAAGACGAGAACGCCTACCTCACAATGCGGTGTAGGCAACTACCCGTGGAGCAAACCAGCAAACTTTTCGATCGGCCTGCTGAAGTCACTCTGGAAGCGGATGAATCGCGGTCGGCATGGTATGACTGGGACCACTACAGGTACTACCATGCTCTGCGGTTCTTTAGAACCTTGGAAGGGTTCTTCAAAGTAAGTATTCGGAGGCACTGTGATTGTACAGGGAGAGGGGCTAAATTGTGCGAAAACCACAGGGCGAACTAGACTTGACGGGGCGACATCAGCATGTAAGCTTTGTTGATACTACATTTGTTGTTCTGGCTTATCTCCGGGTATATTCAGAGGTTAGAAGATCTATTCATAACTCTCAATCAACTCACGCATGATCTGGACGATGTCCGTAAAACCGTTCGAACAGAGGAGTACCAAGAGGAAGATTGGGCCCGGGATGGACAGGTCAAAACTCTCACGAGATACATCATGACGGACGATGCGGTCTGGAGGAACTGTCGGCTCAAGTGGAAGCTTCCCCGTTCAGTGAGTTTTGGTTGGCTCGAAAAGCAAATAGGTATGTTCATTCGATATCTGAGGCTATGAGAGGTTGGTTCTACCTGCTTACCACCGCATAACTATAGCGCGATTGCCACAAGTGATGCAAGAAGCGAAGGGGCAGCCCAAGTACCAGAAGTTACATCTTCTGGACTTGCCGCCCGAGCTGATCGATCAAATCTTTTCCGTTGCGAACCTTCATCAAGCAAGGCTCCTGGCATCAACATGCAAGGCCTTGAAAAGCATCGGAATTCCGCATCTCTACCATGTAAGCCCTCGTGTTTTTTAGATCTTCCCACTGCTTAGAGGGCCCTGACTTCGGTTCTGTGTCAGACACGAACCGTAGAATTGGTGTTTGCAGAACACGATCGCATCATGCAGATTATTCATGGAAAACCCACTGACGAGGCCATGGAAGATCTGGCGCGTGAGCGGTCAAGAGATTTCCTTGACCTTCTCGGTTTCCTCGCCTCTCGAACTGACCTCACCGGCGTCATTGAAAACCTCACAATCCGCGATTGTTGGCGAATGGACGGACGCAGAATAGTCGAGTTCTCCCCTTACCTCTACAAACCGACCTACTATGGTTCTATTAATAATTCCCTCAATGCGCTCCTTGCATGCTGTTCCAGCCTAGCTCTACTCTCTATCAGTCATTTTGCAATCGCAGGCGACTGGCTGAGGACGATCTCACAGCTTGCCAAGCTGCATACGGTTCGGTTCCATTGCTCGTCCATCGAGGACGAGTCTGTAGAGGATGACATCCTAAACCATCGCATTCCTCCTTCACCGCAAGTACTGAACGTCCGATGGCACGAGTCGCGAAACGACGATCTACTTAATCGCGAACAGCGTGGACGAGGTCTATGGTACACATTACTTCTCTTCCCGAACCTCGCGACGTTCAGTCATGACCCTCTCGGTTTGGACGCGTGGCTTCCGCACCCTCAAGTTCAGGCAAGGAGTGACCACTTTTGTCGCGCCCTCCGAAAAGTTAGCCTGAGCAAACTCCATTGGACGTTCGTGCACCCTGGCTTGACGGGATGGATCAACACGACTCAGATGAGGACCGCGAGTCCCTGCACTTTGACACACTTGAAGCTGGGTACGGAACGTCCGCTCTCGGACGAGATCATCACTCGACTTTTGGAGTCTATTCAGATGGCTCCTCTGGAGGTGCTTGCTATAGAGGGCATTAAGGAGGGCTCGCTCGTACTTTTCGAGCGCATAGCGGGGTTCTTCCCCGATCTTATCGGCCTCACGCTCATTCGGAGGGAGAACCGGTCTCAGCGGGAAACAAAGCCAGCTTCGTGGCCGCATCAGAGTGGGCAGTATGCGCTGAAGGTACGAGAGTTTCGGAGGTTGAAGTACTTTGGGTGGAATTATCGCATTCCGTTCTTCGAACCCACCCCATCCGCATTGATTGTCTTCGAGGAGTCCGCCATGAAGAAGGCAAAAAAGAAGGGAAAGAAGAGTGGGTTCGAGGATTTTGACATGTCATGGTTGACGACTGATCGCCACGAATACTTCATGGACACATCGAACATTGCTCTGCCTTTCGCGGCTTACTGTCCCACGCTTGAAACGATGGCGATGGAGGGCCACCCTAGCCATTATTTCAGGATCACCAGAGGAGAGAATGGTGAGGCGAATGTCAGCGGAGGACTCGAGTTTTTTAGCTCAGACCGCGAGGACCCGCGGGACTGGAACCCAAATTTCATGTACTCTGGGTGGAAGCCTGTGATGCCGCCCACAGATTTTCGGAGGTCGTGAATGGACTGTGGCAGATCACCGGACATTGCCCATGTATTATGCCTATTTGTACTTTGGACAGTATGTGTTGTACAACTGTTTCTCCCAGCTATGCTTTTTGTACTGGTATCGACTATAGTTCAACGTTCAAGTCTCTAAAGTTACACGCTCTTGTTGAATAACGTTTTTGAATCTTGGATCTCCCGTGACTGGCCTCAACGAGCAGGTCTCCTTGTAGTACGCCAGCCAGAACGGAGTTGGTATATCGTGTATTGTGATGGCCAGCGTACCAGGTACAACTGCCTGCAATCGAGTGCCAAATGCATTGCACACTCGATTGCTAGAAGTAGAAGATAGAATATTGTAAGTACTATATATGTTCGCTATTCAATTTTAGGTCAAATACTGCTACATATATCATATCACATTAAATCACCACCCCCGTGGTGTTTCGTGGTCGTTTCACGCGTCACTTCCCTCGTCGTCCTCATCCTCCTTTATCATTCCCACTTCATACTCTGCACATACATCCCACCTAGAGCCTTCTGCCGCGGCGCTCACGTATTTGACGAACCGCATGACCCTTTCATCTCTCAATACGAGAAGTAGCCGGTTGAACCCAGGCTGCACAGTGAGTAGTGTACTGTCTTCCTCCTCGTCTTCATCGGCATCGGGTAGCTCGACGTCACCGTCCCCGTCCGCGTCGTGTTTCGGCGAGTGAGGGGGACTACCATGAGGACTTGGGCTGCGGTGCGAGTCGGCGTCTTTATCTTTGCCGTTACCGTTCGTGGTAGTCCCGTTGGTTTTGCCATCGGTATGGCCATTCTGGTCTTTGTGCTTTCCGTTCGCGAGTGCATCGGATTTTTTGTATGTCCCTGACCGATAAACAGCAGGGTCATCCTCCTCGTTATGCGGCGCCATATAACACTAAAGATTCGTACTCAGACAAGGCTCAGCGAAAGCGGTCAAAAACAGAGCTCACCTCCCAGCCGCCCCACTCAGCAGCAGCCCATCCTCTCACGCCCTGATCGCCACCGTGAGCTCTTCTTCTTGACCCTGAAGAGCTCTCCTCCTGTCGCTCCTGTACTTCCGGTGTCAACCCAAGCACGACGTCCAACCTCGCCTCGTTCTCCTCGCTCGTCGCAAGCGTGTAGTCCAGCCCGGGCCTGAACCTCCTTGCCTCGACTGCATACCCCACAGGAAGCAAATGGCTGACAGCAGCCAGCCACGCACGGAAGGCATCTGAGGGGAATAGTTCATCTTGTAGAACGCGAAGAATCTCGGATGGTGAGGGATGCGCGTGGATAGGTGTTATGTTGGTTGCAACCGAGGATGGAGAGGGGGGCATCAGAACACAGTATCTGTGTTTGTGTGGTGGTCCTTTGATAGTCCATGGGCTACCTCCCGCTACGCCGGAGGAGTGAGGGGGTACTTGACCCTCACGAGAGGGACCCAGCCCGTCTGAGCTGTCTACTTGGCGCAGGCGGGGTTCGAGTGCCTTGGCAAGATCGTTGGAGAGGAAAGAATGCAGCTCGAGGGAAGATTCGTCGACGAATCGGGTGCTTAATGCTTGGAGGGTGCGTGGTTGTAGGTATACGGGATTGAGGTATTCGCTGAGATATTCGATATGTTCGGGTGAAAGAGAAGCACTTAGGTCTGGGAGACTTTCTTCTCCCGAAGACGATTGGGAGTAAGACTGAAAGACGGTAGATGATGCTGCCTGTAGCACGCGTTAGCTTGAAAGAGCTTTTGTTTAAGGAGAGATAGAGAGAACGAACCAGTTGTTCTCTCGAACTCTTGAGTTCTGGTTCTTTTTCGGGTTCGTATCCCTCTTCGCCCTCCTGAGCAGCATGGAACCATCCACTGATACTCAAACGCTCTCTTCCGTCTTCGCCTCCACCGCCAACAACAACTTCCTCCACAGAATGGAAACTTCGGCCGGGTTGAACTTCGAAGAAGATGAACTGGTCCCAACTGGGGGGTATACTCTTTACCGGAGTACTCTCCGGTTCCAAAGTACCGTCTGGTCCAGGCTTGACTGGATACAGTTCTAGTGCACCTCCCCACGAAGGTGGCCAAACTTGGTAGTGAGGTAGAGGCATGTAGAGGATGTACGACACGCGACGCGAACCGATGACATCGTCGTGGTTGAGTAGATGACATCCCTTGGTGTACGAGTTGACTGACATGTCCTGCTTTGAGCCTGAGAGAGGCCCGCAACCAGTCACAGAGCGAATGAAAGATCGGAATTCGGGGGAGTAGAGGGCATTGCGCAACTTGAGAATATTGGGCAGAAGTGATATTTCAGAGTCGCTTAGATAGTTCAGTGAGGCCAGATCGCCGGTCTGGTTGACCTACGGTACTTGATTAGATGTGAAGGAAAATAAAAACGAGGTATACACACCTTGTAAATGTCGGTCTCCT